TGTTGAATAGAACTTTCTATAATGATGAAATGTCCTATATCTGTGCTGCCCAATACAGACACTTGAAATGCAGCCAGCGCGATTAAAGAACTCCATTTTTAATGTAATTTTAATTTAAAATTTTAATTTAAAAATTTATTTTAGATTTAATTAAAATTGAAATAGCCACCAGGGGTAGTCACTACTGTATTGGACAATTCATCTGTGTGGAGAGATGTGAATTAGGATCATGGAAGACACAAGGGCTGGAGCAAGAACATTCCTCCAGCTAAGGGTACTGGGGTGCTTCCTTCACTTTTACCACTGGGACGTTTCTATTTGCATTGAGGGAGAGCAAGTCAGTGGCTTCCACAGTCCAGAGCAACACCCTAACGCTGAGTCAGGACTATCATAATAAGCATCTATTTCAAAATGGCTGAGGAATGGGCTGCTTAGAATCCTTGAATGTCAGGAAACATCTAGTAATTGCTCCCATCAACATATATTTGAGGTAAATAAAACATAAGTGGACCAAGGTATCTTACCCGAGGTCACAAGAAATTGAATATTCTGCTAAAAATGTTATATATATTAAAACAGTTTACTGATTTTCAAGGTTAGAATATGTGAAAATATAATTAACACCCAAACTAAGCTGCATATAGTTGAATCTTTGTGATTGAAGCATTTTGTGACTTTTCAGTGCCTGAGGGTCAAAATGAACAGCAGGTTTAGGAGACTAAGCTGCATTTGTTGTCATAGAACAAAATCCAGCAGTTGCTTTTTTGGAATAATTCCCTCACATTAATTTTCTAACTTATCATTTGTGGCTTTATTATAAAAGATGAAAGAAAAATACATAAAATTCCAGTTGTTTAAGCTTGCTGGTTGTTTGAATCCTAGATAAATGGGTGTTTGCCTCAATAATGGCCTTATACTATACAAAGTTCATGTTCCAATCACCATGCTCAGGCCTGCTCATCTGAGTGGTGGTGGGTTTGTAATCCAATTATTTCTTCTGCTCTTCCTTTATGAGACATATTCTAGTTATTTGGTTAGAGTCATAGGCTCCCCTGTGTTTGGACATATGGCCAGGCATTCCAGTCAATATGGCCAACTGGTTTTTGTCAGTGGTCTTTCAACAGAGTTCAGGAAAGGACAGATTTCACTTCACTATACATTACCTGGAAAGGTCTGGGGACTAATTTTTGATCTTTGAAAATTAAAATCTCAGTGCACGATTAGTTGGTTGTCCCACAATAATTTCCCATAAGAGGTACTCTCTTGGTAAAGATGATGTGTACTTTAATACACTACTTTTCAAGCAATCTGTGGTGAGGCCTCAGGTTTTTTGTTTTGTTTTTTTCCATTTTCAATCCATTTGCAGACTAATAATTTTGTAAAATATAATAATGAAATGAAAACAGTCATTCAAAATACAAGGCCAATTATTACTATTATATTCAACAGCTATAAGATCATCACTCTATCAAATTGTTATAAATATTTGTTTACTCTCCATTTCTGTATTGTCCAAACCAGTGACAGTTTGCAGCCTGGCCTGAGGACCAGACTTTGAGTAGCACTGCTCTAACATACTGCCTCTGTCACAGAACTTCATACCTGACCATTCTGAAAGGAAAACAGATGGTTACTTGTATTAGAGAGTTTAGATAGTCTCACATTTGAAGGGAGCAAAACCAGGTAATTTCTTTTTTTGTTTGTTTTTAAAGATTTTTATTGGGGAATTGGGGGGATGGGAATAGTGCTGGGGAATTGGGGGAAGGGGAACAGACAAGTTGATGTCGTTTTGTTCTTCAGTCTAGTTGTGGAGGATGTTGCTTCACTGGCCCAAGCTGGCACCATCATTGCGCTCTTCCCGGGAGAGGCACATCAGTTGCCGGCTTCTGGACGGCCGCTCATGCTGGCTGCTGGCTACACACGGTAGTCCATGGCAACCCATTGCCACAGGGGCTGCAGCCTAAGCCATCGCCAGCGACTCATGTCTGCCTGGGTTTTTAATCTCAGTGTATCAGTTATCCTTGAACTATAGCCTTAGCCCAGGTCTCAGTTGAACACTGACTAAACAATTCGTAGCTACTTGAAGTGTTTCATTCTACATGTATTGATGGACTCTCGCTTAATAATCCATGCCACAATACCTTGACAAATATTTCTCCTTAGCTTAATATAAGATGTTTTGCATGCGCCATCAAATAGTCTTACTTCATTAGAGCTTAAATTTTAGTTTGTTGTAGGGCAGTAGTAAAAGTTAAGGTTGCTAAGAAAACCATAGGAAATTTTCTGTTTTTCTTTTGTTCCATCTGTTCATTTTGATCTTGAGTAATTTAATGATTTTGGTCTCTACTTGGAATTTGTCATCTTTAACAAACTGCCATAAAGCAGTTTGGCTAATTTGCTTAATAAAAATATATTTCACAATGGAAAGAGATATCATGATTAATGGGTAACAATAACTTCCACTATAAAAGAGATTTTATTTTTCTTTCTTTTTTTTAAAATTAAAGTTTATTGGGGTGACAATGGTTAGTAAAGTTACATAGGTTTCAGGTGTACAATTCTGTAATACATCATCTATATATATCACATTGTGTGCTCACCACCCAGAGTCAGTTCTCCTTCCATCACCATATATTTGACCCCTTTTACCATCATCTACCACCCAGATTTTATTTTTCTTGTTAGGAAGTCTAAGAATATTATGCAATTGTTTAAACCTAAATAAAGCCATGTGTAAAGGTCCCAGGTTATCAAAACAAAGTAAGCCTGTATAGGTTTTAGGTCAAGCTATGCTTTCTTATCCTCTCTGTCCAGACACCCAGGTTAAATTCCACTGTGGGGCTAAACACTAGATGACTAAATTGGAGGCACGGTAGATATAAATAACTTTCAACATTGTACAGGTGCTAACACAAACCATCATACACACACCGGAATAAGACAAATAGCACTTAGCACTTATGCTTTAATCAACCTCCTAATGGGAACATTTCTCCCAATACAGCCCTCTGCCTTCAGTTCTTCTCATAAGCACTCCTATGGTTTCATGATTCATTTCCCAAGTTTAGTTCCACAATTCAAATATTTCTATTTTGCATTTCTTTCCTTGTCTCAAATTCAACAGACCTAAAATAAAACCAATCTCAAAATCTTCAGCGTTGGATGAGATCCCAGGGGACCTCCAATTTTGACATTAATGACTACATGAATAGCTTTTATAAAGCTTCCAGGGGAAGGTTTTCTAATCTCTCCCTTAGCAGCTCTGGCTCTAGAGAACTCCCCTCTTTTCAGGGCAGCCATTCTTGGTACTTTGTTTCTAATACTATTGTAGTTCTCTGTCCAGGTTTTCCCAGGCAGGAAATGATACTGCTTTCTAGTTCCTAAGCCCTCTTAAGTCAGCACCATCTGATTACTCTCCAAACCCTGCATTTCTAATTAAGTATAGGATATGTCAGGCCTAACATTTTTAATCAGTTCCCTCTCTAAGTCCCATAATTCCTAGCATATAATAGGTCATCAATAATTAACTGTGGATTAATTGATTGATGTTTTAAATCTATTGAGAGCTCACCCTTAGCAACTGAGGGTTTCTTACTCTGAATCTGTGCTTCATGTGATGTTTTTGACCAAATAGCCAGATGAGAACTATATCACGTTAATCATAAATTAGAAATAAAGCTCCAGTTCATTAGTAGATGAAGTGATAATTGTATAGTTTATGCATCATTTAAAGACTCCCATGGAGAGAAAAGTGCTGTATGCAAAGGGAAGTGACATTTCAGAGAGATTTTGGTAAAATCTACCCACTTCACAGGAGAGAGCTCATTGTTTTAAACTTTTTGTATCTTTCTCATTCTCTACTGTGCAGACCCAGTCTAAACCTTCCTAAAATAAACTACCTTTCCTGTTATACCAGTAATGATAGCATCTTAACATTTCATTCAAGATGCAAAAGTTGAACCTTTGGCAGCCAATTTTGTTTGATTTATTTTCAACTAATTTCAGTAGGATGGAAATAGGATTACTGTATTTTACATATAATTTCTTTATACCTGAAAACAGAACTATGCCTAAAAATCAGTTATGTGCAGTTCACTAAGGCCCAGTTTCCTTTCTGATCTAAGATACAACATTAGAAGAAAATAACTTAGAGATGAGTAAATAATTTGGTCTCCTAACTTCCCCAAGCTGTGTTGCTGCAGTGAAATCCTCTGGAAACAGGATGACTCATGCTGTTGTTTGGAAGCTGGATAGAGAAACCCATCCGAGTAGGCTACTCTCCTCACTGCTCACCTTCTAGTTATAAACTCACTCAATTCAGCGAATGCAACATTAAGTTATTTGAGGACTGCAACTTCCCAGAGGATTCAGTGAGGGAGAAGCCAATATAAATGACAAGGAAGATGACGCTCTCTTATATAAATCTTTAAAAGCAATGAGCTTCTAAAAGAATTGAAAACAGGCATTCAAACAAGTACACGTACATACATGTTTATAGCAGCACTGTTCACAAGAGCCAACAGGTAGAAACAGCCAACTGTCCATCAACAGATAAATGGAGAAACAAATTGTGGCGTATGCAATAGAATAGTATTCAGCCACAAAAGGATTGAAGTACTGATACCTGCTATAAGGTAGATGAACCTTGAAAACATTATACTAAGTGAAAGAAGCCAGACACAAAATGTCACATACGATTCCATTTATAGGAAATATCCAGAATAGATAAATCCACAGAGACAGGATGAAGACTGGTGGTTGCCAGGGGCTGCAGGGAGGAGGAAATGGGGAGAAGAGACTGTTTAATCGTAAGGAGTTTTATTTTGGAATGATGGAAATGTTCTGGAACTAGGTAGAAAGGGTGGTTGTACAACATTGTAAATGTACTAATGCCACTGAATTGTTCACTTTAAAGTAGTTAAACACAAAAAAACAATGACCTCAAGTCTTAACACCAGATTCGTACCTTTGGGATCCTCTCCACTGAACTTGACACTCACCTTGCACACCATGGATGCCCGTGCTCCAAGCCTCGCAGCTTGCACACACTGGTTGGCACCTTTCCCTCCAAAGCCAATGAAAAACTTGTGTCCATGGATGGTTTCTCCAGTTTTTGGCAAACGAGGAGTAAGACTATCATCATTTAAAAAGAGAAGGACAAAAAAAGTACATTGGTAACTGCAATCAATTGAAGTCCTTCAGAAGAGAGAGGGAAGGTTATTTGATGGAGCTCTAGCCTTCGCAATCAGACTGTGAGCAGACGCAAGGAAGAGAAGCTTTTTTGTTAAGATAACATTTGGTAGCTTGCATCACTTTCAAGAATACGTCTGCTTGACAGAATTTCGCTCTCCCCCACTGCCCCACACCTGCCCCATTGTAGCTCTACTCCAGAGGACCAGTCCTAGTGTCTGTACTGCATCAGGGTTGTTCATGGGTGCCTCTGTTTTCCATCTTGGGGAACTCTCAGAGGGAAGTATCTTCATAGTCCCCCTTCCCAATGCCCAGCACAGAGCTTTATTCGCAGTGGGACTTAATAAATGGGACCGAGTTAATATGTGGTTCTGTATGGTTTTATCTGGTTACTTTGACAAGAAGCAGGAAGTGTGCCAGGATCCTGGTCATCATGTTCAGGACGTAAGGAGAAGAAAGACATTGCAATTCCAGGCACTAAAGAATCTTATTTTCCTTGTGGGTGGGGTGGGAATGGGGCATTTAGATGGCAGAATCAAGTACTCATCCTAGTACATCCTGTACATTACCCATTTCATGCACTGACTCCAAAAAGGCATCTGTTGTAAAACAAATGGATTCTAAAGAGCTAAGTTTAGTTTAAATTTTTACTGTAGAAAACTCTAAACATACAAAACTAGAGAAAATAGTATACTGACTTCCCCTACACCAATCACTCAGATTCAACTGTTGTCAATCCTCTTTTTTTTTTTAAATTTTATTGGGGAATTGGGGGAGGGGAACAGTGTTGGGGGATCGGGGAAGAGGACCAGCCAAGTTGTTGTTCTTCAGTCTTCGTTGTGGAGGGCGCCAGTCGCCATCTGGCTTCCCGTCGGCAGCTCGTGGCCTCTAAGCTTAAGGTGCTGTGTTGAATCTTAGTTGTGGGTGGGCATAGCCACCATCCATGTGGGAGTCGAATCAGCAGCCTTGTTTTTAAAGAGTGCACACTCTATCCATTGAGCCATTTGGGTGGCAGCTCAGCTCAGGGTGCCGAGTTCAGTCTTAGTTGCGGGTGGGTGTAGCCTACCATTGAACAGGCAATCTTGTTGTTACACCAGCTGAGCCATCCTGCCACCTTTTGGTGCCTCAGCGGCAGCTCAGCTCAGGGCGCAGCATCACTGGTCCATGTGGGAATCGAACCGGTGGCCCTGTTGCTCAGAGCTCATGGTCTTAAGCCAACTCTTAACCAAGTGAGCCACTTGGCCGGCCCAACTATTGTTAATCTTGTTTCAATTTATACCTTCATCAACTTCTCTAAGAGCTAAGGATTTTTACTGACATGTTATTACTGGTATGTTACTGCCTAATGAGGGTAGTATTAAATGAGGCAAAAAGTGAGAGTAAAAGGTCTGCTCCAGTATATGATTTTCATCACATAAAAGGTGGAAGATGCGAGGAAACAAAATCTTTGAAGGACAGAAGGCTTTAAAATGGAAAAGAAGTTCTGGGTATAAGGCAGCGGTTCACAACCTGTGGGTTGCGACCCCTTTGGGGGGTTGGAACGACCCTTTCACAGGGGTCGCCTAAGACCATCGGAAAACAAAAAGATATTTACATTACGATTCAGAACAGTAGCAAAATGACAGTTATAGAGTAGCAACGAAAATAACTTGATGGTTGGGGGTCACCACAACATGAGGAACTGTATTAAGGGTCGCGGCATTAGGAAGGTTGAGAACCGCTGGTTTAAGGGCAAGAGAAGATGAGCCCAATGACATGAAGACAGGCTGACGGGCCACGAAGAAGTTGGTCAAGAGCCAGATGGAGCAGATGAAGAGATGGTAGGTGTGACCAAAAAGATTAGCTTTAGATAGGAAAGAAAGGCCAAGAGAGAAGTTTACAATAGTAAGTAGACTGAGAACCTACTGTATTTTAGCAGATTAGAAATTTATATTCATTTCCCATATAGGCTGTGATCTATCTGAAACCAGTATCTTATTAGAGTAACAGAACAATGCCAACAGCCTGTTTGCAATGGAAAGCCATATGACTCATGACAAGAACATATGATTGTGTCAATAAACACCAAGTTTGACCTGTGAACCTCCTTTATGTAGTTCTAAAAGTCTCAATAAATTGAGCTCAACTACTCCATACCCTAGCACCGTGCTGTCAGATATGGTTATTTGAGATTCAAAAGAGACTCATCAATAGTTTGAAAACATCCCACTCCACTCCTCCCCTTTTCCAGTCTATTTTTATCTTGGATTCTAAATGCATTTATAGTACTGATGAAAAAAAATATACATCTACAAGGTTCACTTCTGAAAAAGGTACTCAATCAAGAGAAAAATGGTTTTAATGTAATGTTATTATCCTGTCATTTAATTTAGCAATGACAAGTGGTGATGAGATTTTGATTTGCATCAGAAATCTTAAACATTTTAGGATTCTGTTATGAACAGGCAATGATGAGTAATCTGTGTGATTGAGTAACTATGTGAATTCTTGGCTTATTGGTGCTGCTACAAACAACACTCATAACACCCTTAAAAAGAAAAAAATAGCCAATGTGGCTAAAAACAGGCCAAATAATTTAATTAGTAAGACTGTCACTAGAGAAATTTACGACTTCCACTATATTTATACTTAGATCTGGGTCACAATCCACTGGTTTGAATCAAGTGTAGTTTTATTATCAACTGGGAAATTATGAAAAATATATCACCAGATTATTATCAGGATGTATATGTATGTGGGGGAGTAGTGAAATCAGGGGTACAGAGTGTATGTGTTTGATGGGGGAGCAGATGGCTGGGATTTAAGCAACTTATATTAACATAAGCACTGTACTTTTTTAGCCATCACTGAAATTCCTCACTCCTTTGGAATTCTACTATTTTCTTTTCTTTCCCTTCTGCATCTTTGCCCTATACTTTTATCTTTCTTCCCTCAATTGTAGACTTTCCCTGCATGAGGACAGGGACCCCGTCTGTTGTGGTCCCCATGTGATCTACAGTGCCTGTCACTTAGCATGGGGTGAACATATTTGCTAACTGAACAAATCTTTGTAAGGGTTTCCCCTTGTCTCTGAAGGGTAGCAGAATATGCCACCCCAAAATATGATTGTAGGAGTTCAGGACATGCCACCCAAAATACACTGCTTTGATAATTGATGATTTTGAGCTGCAGGCACCTGAGAAATGGCAAAGCAGGGACAGGCTTTCTCTGAACTCCACCTAAAGACAGATCCTCCGAAAGGAACTCAATTGCCATAAATCGCCTCCCTGGGAGTTTTCATCAACCAGGGAACATGGACTCTTGTCACAGGAGAGGAGACCAAAAGTCCACCCACACCCAGACAGACACTGTCACAGCTGTCATACCTCCCGTCTAGTCTAAGGGCCCATTCGTCATCCCTAAAAGTCATCTACTCTCCCCTAACAGGTCTACCTCCCTCCCCTTTCCCTATTAAAATGGTATTGAATCCTGAATTTGAAGTCATCTTGAGGAGTTACTAATTTTTTCCTGGGTTTCTCCAACGTATACCTGAGGGATATATGTTAATAAACTTCTGTTGGTTTTTCTCCTGTTAATCTGTCTTTTCATACAAGGGTCTCAGCCAAGAATTCAGAAGGGTAGTGGGAAAATTATTTTTCCTCTCCTGTTTTCATCTCTTTCCCACGTCTCCCTGCATAGCTTCCATTCTTCTGAATGGAGGATGTGGAAGTGTTGATGAATGGGAAGGAGGGGGGACTGGCAGGGATGACGGCTCATTTGTCAGGCAATGACAAGTCTATGTTTTACCAGCCTGACCCACTGCATTCCCAATATTAGCAGCATTCCTCTTTTATAAGCAAGGACTGTAGCTAGAACTCATACTGTTATTCCTTCATTCATGTATTAATTCAACAAATGTTAAATCAGTGTTTTCCAGTGTACCTCCTACAGTGCAAAATTGACTTGCAAAATGATGTGCTGTTGGGTCAGCAGCCTTAAGGGCTTACCGCAGCATGTTGCCAGTGCCTCCTGGCCCATTGTGTGTCCGCCAGGCCGGCTGGCTTGTGTCCCCAGTCTGGTCCAGGGGGTCCGGGCACTGCCTTCACGGTGCTCCCTTAGCCCTGCGGACTGGACTGCAGCCCCAGCAGACGGTGTTGTGAGGCATTTGCCTTACTTCTGCTGCGGCCAAGTGGTGCCAGGCTTTGGCCGTGTGGCTCCAAGCAGCTGGGCATCCCCACAGCTAACTTTCCTGAGCAAATAGTAGATAATCTTCCAGCTGATGGAGCCCTGGCATTTATGATGGTGGGGCCAGCGTTGGAAGTGGAGAGATCCGTAAGATGATGGTGAGTACAGGATGGAACCCATACTCCAAAAATACAGAGAAGTCCATGGAGACGCACATCATGCATACCTTCCAAGAGAACTCCATGGGAAAATCCTCAGTAAGACCATCGTGGGCTACCTCAGACCAGAAGAGAACTGTGATTCTTTAGTCACCTATTTCAGCTATCCAAGGTGATACTGAGGAAGCTAAGAAATGATGCAATTTACCGGAACATTTAAAACTCAAAGATAGACAATTTCTTCCAGAGTCCTAAGAGCAAAATAATGAATGGCCATGGATGAAAAATTATCTTACTAGTTTATTGTTTTCTAGTATTTTGATGCTCACAACTGTGCATTCTCCTCTTGATTATATTTTAAAAATCAAACATTTTCCTACAGCTGTGAATTAGTTTAAACAGTATGATGTAGTTACCATACTATGCTTCAACTGTTCAATTAAATCCATCATGCTACAGTACTAAAAAGATTCCTTTTAAAAATCAAGATTCTTGGGGCAGCTGGTTAGCTCAGTTGGTTAGAGCGCAGTGCTCATAACACCAAGGTTGCCGGTTTGATTCCCACATGGGCCAAGGAGATGCGCCCTCCACAACTAGACTGAAACAACTACTTGTCTTGGA